GTCACTTCCACCACCATGCACAATTACATAGCCGTTTCATTTAAAACTATACAATATCTCCTACAATCATAAATTGCATATTCCACCACATGGGTGAAAAGGTAATTTAGCACAAATTGTTGTCATACAAACCCGTCACGAATGACAGATTATATGGTAATTGTCTACACCTGATGAGTACAATACTCTTCAGAGTAAACAATATACACAAGTTTGCTGTACCTAACATTTCTCCTACGTTAAGCATTCCAAACATAGTCAAATATACACTGCTTTCAGTTTCATTTGATTGTTTGAAAACTTTAACATTTCCTACATGTTGATATACAATGACCGACGTAATCTAATCAAAGTAAACCTACATGCAAATCGGTGAAAAGTAGAATTATGCATTGCAAAGTAATACACATGTATTCTTCGGCGCCATTACTCGCCTAAGCTGTAATGGACTGGGAATGTATTTGGTATTTGCTCGCTGAGGGATATTGTATACTGAAATAGTAAACCAATTTCCTACAGCAAATACAAATAGGGGTTGTCAGGATATACAACTTCAAATTACAAATATATATATACAACATGAATATACATAAATAGAGAGAGAAATATGTATAAAAAAATTCAAAAAAAAACTAAAATTCTCAAATCAGACATGTTCATCCAAGGTTCAATCTATTTAATTCTAAAACTTGTGTTTTCAAAAGAGAATTTATAATCTAAAAGTGACAGGAACGATCTAGCAAGCCTGATCCGAACGACAATGGAAACAGCACTCAAGCCGATCAACGCGAAGATATCTCAACTAGAGGAAAATGTCAATAAGGTACTTACATCTGAGAAAGGCAAAACCAAGGTAAGTGGTGAGAAAAGTGTTGAAGAGCGCCTGAATAGACTTGAGTCTGCGTATAGTCTCTTACAAGAGCAGAACAATCAACTCAAAGTAGAGAATGAACAGCTCAAACGCAAACTACACCAAGCAACCAACACAACAGACACACATACACCTATGCCAACCATGAACACCACTGATTTCCCCAATTTGGGCGAATCACAATCGGACCCGAAGCAAAGGCCTGCACTGAAATCATTTAAAGAAATGCTCAATCAAACTAGAAGCCCATCCTCTCGCGAGGCACAGGAAGCTCCCCGTCTATTTGGGATTGTCAGGATCACTGGGAGCTCTCCGCACTATACTTTAACTGCAACACTCACGCTTTAGAGGATGGATCACTTCCAACCAACAAACACCTATCGAAATGGCTATGGAACTTTCACTTATTGAAAAATATACCCATCTTACACGCTTCGTATCTTTACAAAGATCGCAGCGCAGTTGAATTAGTCGTTCCTGCACGGTTTAGTTCTAAAACCAAACAGATTCTATTAGCACGCGGCTGGCGTACAAACAAAGGCGCCGACCCTATGAATGTGACTAACCCTATCGCAATCAATGGAGCACGTACTCGTTTAACCACCGCTCATAAAAGTGCACTAGAACGTGAGAAATGTCCACCCCAGTACCCTAGAGTGCTCGCAAACTTGCTCAGTAGAGTACCCGACGATCCAACACAGCCTAAATCTAAAGCAAATTCTACAGATTCCGAAACAGCAACCACTAGTTCCAATATAACAAACACACTCGCCATAACTATTAGTTCGCCCGCAGATATACAAACATCTGCTAGGTCAGAGAGTGATCATATGGAAGTACAATCAGAGATCACTAAATTATCATCAGACCTCAAACGTAAGTGTCAAAGCGATAGCGATAACGAACGAGCTAGAACTAGACTCGAAGGCAATGATGATACATCATCAAGCGATAACGAACGAGCTAGAACTAGACTCGAAGGCAATGACGATGAATCGTTAGATACTATGTCTGAAGATGAATTGGTCGCAGTCTTAGGAGATGGGTTTAACTCACCACCAATCAGTGATCCAGAAGCGAGAAAGGAACTCTCTGACTTTATACAAACCCGTACTGATAGTAAGATGAAATCGCAATGAGTGACATTTTCGTGTAATATGA